CAGAAGGTAATCTTCCCTCTATCATATACACCCAGCGACACCGATGCCAGCTGACTGTGCTCCCAGGTAGTATTTAGAGAGGGCAGGTGCGTGATCCAGGCCTTTTCGTAGGCTTAATATTATTATTATTTGTTTATTTACATGAATTTATTTTAAAATAAACATTAAATAGAAAATTCACTTCAATTTATAATAAATCAAGACAGATATTTTAATGAATGGAACATAATATAACGTATCATATGTGTATTTTCATCATATTTACATGATTTAATTCGCTGGAGAGGTCATTCGAGGTCGCCTGTCAATAACAAGACGGATATCGTTAGTATGTGCACTTACCCTATTTAGGGCTCTGAAAATAAGAGCCATTTCATAGCGCGGCATTTTCCACTTATCACTCACTGATCCGATTCCAGCAGATAGTTCAATCAAACAATTCAAACCAAAAAACCCAGCCACCTGATTACACACGTTTTCACAGAGCAGTCGCCATGTTTAATAAAGACCATCCAGGTCAGTAATTATTAATAGCTTATCACGAAAAAGTTATATAAATAATGATGGCCATGTATAAATTATTTTTTTGGCAGTATTGATACTATTATGAGGCAAAAATGCTTTATAACAAATAATTCCTAACTGTAATAAACGGAATTGTTATTTTTAGTATAATCAAGCAAACTAAGCTAGGTGGTTTAGAGTTCAACATCCGGGTATCGTTTTGGTCATATTCCATCATGGCTGCTTCCAGGTCGTTGATTTTGGTAAGAATTATACTATATCTATTCAGCAATATTATAATACTTTCGTAGTTTATGTATGCAGGGATATCCTTTTAACTTACTATATTTTTTCACGATTCGTAAAAGTTCACTGTTTGTCATGAAATAGTGGTGGCAGTAGGAGGACAAAAAAGCCGGCTCCTAACAAACTTTCAGATTTGAGCCGGCGTCGTCTACGAATTTTGCACGTACAACTTCAAATAACATGTAATATTTAAATTTGTACATTCATCTTGATTGTTTTTGTCATATATCGATCGTGTATAACAGCAGTTCAAAGAACTGTTGTTGGTAGTTACAAAAATGTTCTTAAATCTCATCGTGAAAAATAAAAGAAAATATAATTATTACAGGAAAATCTCAGGTTGCTCATATCGTAGTGTGTTGACATTATTATGGAATCCTAACACACTAATTGTTGAATGGCATATATCCCGATTTTCATACAAGTGCATCTCGATCAGGATAAATATATCTCAATCTTGATGTTTTGTCTTAACGAACTAAATACTTTAGTAAGGATTAAATATTTATATTTATTCAACCCTAAAACGAACTACAGTTATTTGTTATATGGTCAACAAAAATAAAGATAAAATAGAATAAAGATAAAACTACACTACTAAGATACAATAAAGTTAATCAACTACACAGAATGCTAAATAATATTACAAACATGCAGAGGATCACAAATTTATACGGTACAATACACTAGCTAATATTGTTAAGAGGTAAAAAAATCACATTAGAGTCATAATTATGGTAGAAAGAATCGGGATAGAAGAATATCCTTTAATTGGTTCAATATGGGACTTGTAGAGTTGTATACAATGCGTGTAAAATACATTAACAACAGGTATCAAAAAATTGCCCTGTATGTTTGACCTCTGTCTTTTTATGTAGGTCTTTGGGATAAGAAAGTATACATAATACCTGTTTCAATATGCACCAAGCAGTAATAAAGTGAACCAAGGCGATCTAAGGCAAAATATCCTGATCAGAATATAGAACAATATCTTGATCAGAATATATACCCCATTTTATGGTTAGTCCTGACTGTTATGCATAAACTGTAATAATTGTTTCTATTTTGCAGGCTAGGTGCTTTAGCACGTCTGTGGCAAAAGCACAGATGGTTAAGGTAAGTGAGAGTGACGTACAGTACAATTACTAGTACACTTATATCATGTGAATAAAAAGTACTCGTTAGATTCTGAGAAATACTACATGAATATGGTGATTTTGTCATTGACAGTGACTTTTTTTTATTTCTACTAGCCTCCAATTCAGATATATGGTATTGGAGGACGCTATGCTCATGCATTATACTCTGCTGCTAGCAAAGAGAAGAAGCTAGACCAGATTGAAACTGATCTGAAGACAGTAAAGGTAAAGTGTAAACTAAACTATCGTAAAAACTCGATTCGTGGTTGTAAAAATAATTATTTTTTCAAGTGCGCGAATTAATAGCGTAAAAACGGAAATTATTGGTTTTGGTGCGCGAATTAAAATAGTACTTTTAGATGGATTCAAAAAGGAGCTGTTTTCATAAATTTGTTAGTGATTTGTTTTGTTTTCCAATGACCACGATTACATGACGTTGTTTTAGTGACTCGTGGCTAGCGACATTCATGGCGTTAAGTCGGGTAGAGAACACGCACTACGTCAAGGACCACGCACCATGTTACACTTGAAATGGGAAAAGTGAAATGGCAAAGGTCACTCTGTACACAAACAAACAATGAACACGTGGCTACAAAGTAGCCGTCTGGCTGCATTGCCTTTTTTTCTAGGCAATACCGTCAGACACAAATTATTAATTGTTCGACATGTCGTCGGCAGTAAAGCCGTCAAACCAAATCACCATCTTCGTTGTCGTCGTTTAAAAGCAGATCGGCAATGATTTCTGCTATTTCAGTGTTGCTTCGGATAAGGTGGTCTTCTTCCCCGTTGATTGCATTTTTGTAGCCATGTGTTCATTGTTTACATGGTTGTTTTGTTTTTTTTGTCAAGCACTTTCATCTTCCGGATTCGGCTGATACCCCGCCCTAGGCGATCTTGTGGAGGATTTGATTTTTTTAAAGAAAAATGTGGACCAAAAGATCGCCCGGGTGATGTTATGGCAGATATTACGAAGCCTATCTTCTCTGGAAAAATAACCCTGCGTTGATAAAAATGGTCTCAGAAAATGTTTAGAAAAAATAATGTTTTGCGTTGACCAAATATAATCATGCAAAGTATAAATTCAAAGTTTTTTTAATACTTTGGTGAGAGATCGCATTTTACAGAAACAAGAACATGCACTAAGAAGGAAAAGCAAGCCAAAGTCGAAACGGGGTGCATCATGGACATGACACAACACATGCTGTGACAATTGAGTGATCAGCGACATCATTTTGAGACGCAAGTACTTCTTTGTGAAACCTGTTGCGCGGCGATGCTGACATCAAGTGTGTGTTGACCCAAGTTTGACCCCAAGTCACGCACTGAACTGGCGTGTTACCTTAGCAACCTTTTTCTTTCGTGCCCAGCGCGTCAATCTAGTAAAATTTTTAATTTATTCGTCGGTACTGTAATTACACAACTTGTATGCAACTCTGTACTGGCTTTGAATATATCAATGTTGTTTACTTAGTGCATTGCTTTTCTAATTACGCAAATTTGTTTACAATATTGTACCGGCTCTGAATATTTCAACTTTGTAATGTATTGCTTTCATGATAATTAGTTTTTTTTAACTATTGTTAGGGCACTGACCCGGGGTATTTGGTCTGTGAATATTTCAATATCACTGACTTGATAATGCGATGCATTCATAATAATTACGCAAACATAAACATACCATATGTCAAATAAAATTTTACTATAATATAACAAACTCTGGGCAGCGCATTTCGATCGAATTATTCATGTTCATTTTGACTGAACTATAAATAACCACGCATTTGAATTACGTGCGGCATTGGGCAATGACCTCCAGAATTCATGCACTGATATTTAAATTCGGGCCACCCAGCTTGACTCAAATCAATTTAGTTACTTGTCATTTGTTCAAAAAATCTTTTAACTCTCACAAATACCATGGACGCTAAGAGTTAACTGGGGGTTATGTCTTCCATGGTCAAGGAACACGATTATATGTGCAAGGTTAGATTTCTAAAACATACATGTGTTTTTTACCCAATCCGGTAAAATAAAAATGTGACACGAGGTCAATTGCCCGACCAATCAAAAACGCCAATTTACATACCATAGGGCTGGTCACTTAAATGACGTAATAGAATAATGGCAGACACATGGTCGATGCAATCCTGTGGACCAGCGACGAAAAGCCCTGTAGTAAGCTTTCCATCACAGAAATTCGTAATCGATGTGTTGACCGATGGATATTTATCGACTAAGTAATAATCTTGCCCAACATCTGTAGTGTCGTGGGGGAATGATTTTTTTCACGTCAAATCTTTACCGAACCTAAACTGCTTGCTAACTGAAAGGCTGTGATGACGGAGATCATCTGCGATTGTGGCTACACAAAGTACTGATAACATAAAAACTCAAACAAAATGTACATTTTTAATGTCTTCATGCAATATATTTTGAGTTATCCACTTTATTCTTGTCCTCGAATTAATGATACAATTTTAAACATGTTTTTGAATGACGCGAATTAAAAGGATACATTTAAAAATTAGCGTTCGAAAATAAAATGGGTGCACGATTTAATAGAGACCGTGAATTAATCAAGTTTTTACGGTAAAAGACAACAATGGGAACAATATTGAACCTAACGTTGCTTGATGACTTTGTCGCTTTATGCTTAGTAATGCATATTTGATAAATCTTTCGAAAGCTGCCACCCAAAAAAGATATGGATTAGTTCAATATTGCAACATTGGTTTCATCATGTGTATTAACAAAACAGAAGGAGTATGAACCATGTTGCGTTGTTCGCCAGGTACTGTGAAATTAATGTGAGTTTTCGCATTAAAGCACAAACCACTTGGTCCTTGTGAGGGCCACCACACACTTCAAAAAAAGGACTACCATACCAACAGTTTTTATGCTATGTAACATATTTTTTACAGGCATATTTAAATAAATGTTAACCTATCGTTAACGCCTGGTAAAACACCCTGGGCCTATAACCGGGGATGCCCTTTGATCCTTAAATATCTAAAAAAAACACAAGGGTGGGGGTATACCTAGGAAGGAGCTTATGATCCGGGAAGTACGGTATTAATGGTATTTTTTATTGCAATAATGGTTAGGCATAATAAAGGTCGTGATGTTTTCTCTTTTTTACAGAAACTGCTGGACTCGGACAAGAAGTTTGCAGAATTTGTTAGGGATCCAACATTGAACAAAAGAATAAAAAAAGGTCTGTACATTGCATATTGATTTTTTATCCAAATTAAATTGTGTTATGTGTTTAACTCCTCTCAATCCATGCTCAATTTATTTTGTCAGTATTATGCACTACTATAAAATACTAATAATAAATTTTCGCTGAATAGACTTTTTGGTTGTTTTGTATGGAATTTAATTTCACTTATTTTTGACTAGTTGAATTTGAAATATTGGGAAAAAAAGGCACTCTGCGAGTCGCCAAAAGTCGAATGAAGGCATTCTGCGAGTCGAGTCAAGCTAAGCCACTTTCCGAGTTTTCAGTGGTATATAAACAGTATCTGCAAACTGAAAAATGTGCATTCTCAAAGATGAACCAGAACCTGGGGCAAAGTTGGTCAGTGTTGGGGAAAACAGAGGTGTTAATAGGAAAATTCATTGTCTATTCTTGAATGTAGGCATGAACATAGTGTTAGTACGTCCATGGTCCAGGCAACATTTGGGGGTTGTGACATAGCTCTGTCTTTGAGACCGGCATCATGCACTTCATTCAGCTAGAATTACGCCAGTGTTTATTCATTCTTAGAAAGTGTACTACTGTGAGACAAAGACGTCAACCTCTGCATTTCACAAAATCAAGGTCGAACGACAAGTGCCGTCTTAAACTTGCAATGACCTGAACATTACACAAGCTGAAAACCCAAACCATGACGTCACGTCGATCGTGTTACGGCTCTTGTACGGCTTTCACGACTGCGATTATTTGTTGGTATGTTTGAATATTCATATAAGCCATGGAGTTTACCTCCATGTGTAAACTGACATGTTTACGTTGTTTAAACAAGCACGCTGTTCAGTACTACGAAGTACTGTAGAAATATTCAATTTCGCTAGTTTTCGTGGTTTTGAGCTGTCCAAGCTTTTTGTGATGTTTAAATTTTGCGGATTGTCAAAAAATAAAACAAAGGGTCACACCACTGTCCACATAAAGCAGTCAGTCAATCAATGTCTTGTTGTTTTCCCGACACTTGCATCCTCCAACTGAACCGTTTTTTCCTACCAGTATTACACGTACCAGTATTACACAATAACTATTTGCTGCTTGTTACAGTCTGACACTTAAACACTGTGTCCTTTATTTTAAATGCTAAGTAAATAACGTGTTAAAGTCATACAAAAAGTAGCATTTTTTTAGAAAACACAAGTTTTTTTTAGCTCCGCTGTCGTAAAGTATGCTTCAATTTAAACTAAAACATAAATGGGCCAATTTGTTGCAACCCACTGAAAACCAGTTTTACTGTTAGGTAAATTGATTTTATTTATAGTATGGTAATAAAACAAAAGAATCTGTATTACACGCAGACTTGTCTTGCGTGGCTCCTGCATGCCCGGAACACGGAAGATATTTGTCGATGTAGTAGTACGATTTTGTGGCTTGGATTTTGCTGGTAAAACAGCACAATTTTTTTTTCAAGAAATTAGCTGATTTCGAAAGATAAACTGAGCATTTGACATTGTTCTCCCCAGGCTCAGAGGCAAGCATGGCAGTCTAATTTGCATACTAATTTGCATATTTTTCAGGATTCACACTCACAAAAATAAACATACAAGACAGTATTAAAATGTATGAGAGACTTTATTTAAATTACATAATACTTTACATAATATACCATAATTTGACAAGATCGTCATATAATGTGAACTGTTCCATAAAACTTAGTCTAAACTAATCCTCCTTGACTTTGTTGTGCTCCAAACATTGGCTGCCTTACTGTAGTTAAACTCGTCATAGACGTGCACGGGACTTTATTCCATAAAGAAGACCCACTCTTTGCAATCATGTTGTGCTTCAAGCATAAACTGCACAACATTCCTAGTGGGAAAAAATGAAAAATGAAAAAAAAACACAATGAGGATTGAGGTTCAAATAAATGTAAACATAACGTTTGATATGTGCCACGATCGGGAACCCAGTGCCGTATGGATAGCATATCGTCTGCAAAACATGTTGTTTACATGTTGGTTTTGTCAGGTCAACGACAAGGAGACTCGGGAATTTTGAGGAAAAAAAACATGAGGTCACTATTCAATTAAAATTAAAACGTAACTATAGAATTATGTATACAAATCGGGATTCCATCGATCATAGCTCGTGACGACAATCTAAAAAATAGTTGACAGTAAAGAGTGATGTTTTTTTTCATGCCGTGTCTATACCAGCCTCGTGTCTAAGATGTTGATTGAAATCGGTGTAGGCCTACCATGTTCGGTGTTCTTACGATCGGCAAAACATACACACACTGGCATTTTATTTCTAAAATTACGAAATCTTACCTGAACAATTGACCTTAACCAGGGAAATGTCTTTTTCCATGACTTATCAAAACCAGCCTCACGCCGTTTCTGTGTTTCTACACGCTTCCGTTTCTGTGCTGTGCTAGCCGTGATTGTTCGTTTTAGCCGGGCGGCATCACCTTTTTTTCCTTTACATGTTTTGTCATATAAC